ACGCACTGATTCTGTACTTGCCACAGCCATGACCCAGGGCCACGACCTTTCCTTCCACCCCCGCCCCCTCTCTGTCTTCCCCCCGCCTGCCCCGCAGAGGCCATGGAGGACGAGGAGAGACAGAAGAAGCTGGAGGCTGGCAAGGCGAAGGTAGGCGAGCGGGAGGCGGCGGCCGGGAACGGGTGGGAGGAGGCCTAGGAAGCGGAGTTCGCGGCAGCCTCCGCGCGCTGCCCTGGGAGGGGTTGCTGCTGGATCTGCGTTTTTCTTTTTCCCTGGCCCTCGGGTCCCTTTTCCCCGAGAAGCGGGGAAAGCCCGGTGCTTACTATGGGTACGTGAATGGTGCGTCTCCCTTCTCCTGAATGCTCGAATAAAAGCCGTCGTTTACTGGGTTGCTGTAAGCTGGTAATTAGTTGCCTTTTAATCGCCAACCTCTTTCACTTTTCTAGGGAGCATTCTGGGTGGTACAAAGGCGTTGTGCTTTCCAGCATGGGTATTTAGGGCTTTTCTCTATTCGGTGGGGATTTGTGCACTGATCATCAGCTCTTCTTCCTTAGGTGGCACGCTGGCAGTCTTGGGTGTGTGTGATTGGCCTGTGACAGCTGTCTCGGCAGCGGCTTGAGTGTGCCACAAGTGCCAGCTGTGAACTTGGCTTAGGAGCCTTTTTAGAAGCGTGTCTTTGTATGTTTGTGTTTGGAGGTCTTTGTCGTGACGTGCGCTTTCATGTCATGTGGAATAAAAGTTCTGGGGACTGAAAGGGTCTATATACCAAGCAACACCTATAGAATTTTTGCTTTAGGTAGTTGTTATGTACACACACACACACACACACCTGATGAGTTCTGAATTATGTGTATGTATGCATACGCGTACAGAAAATCCTGTAAAGCAAGCAATACATCATTATACACATATATCCCTTCCTTTACATTCATGAAAACCTTGACATAGACAAAATACAAATTGAATAGCTTATTTCTTTTAAAAATTACATGCTCGAGCATATCTTTGGTTATCCTGAAGAACTCTTTCTTCCCTACAATGAAGTTACCTTTTATAGATCATACTATCTTTTTAGCGCTAATTGTTGGTAATCATATTTGGGCCACAATTAAATTATAACAGTTAATTAACTTTTTCCTTTCATTCTTTCACCCCACGCCCCACAAAGGAAGCCAGGTTAATGATTTCAGTAATCAATGGAGGGCCGTACTACACAGATGTAATTCTGTAGTAGGTGCTCATCACAGTTTGTTAAAGAAATATGTACATTAGCCAGCTTCTTATTTTGAAAATGCAGTTGGCTTTCCCATAAGCTACTCCTGTCTGCGTCAAGGCTTGAATGCTTGTCTGTAGCCAGGTAGATTGTTTTTCTTCTAGAATCTGTAAATGGAGGAAAAGAGGAGTGGGCATGTTCAGAAGGGCAGAGTCACTTACATTTGTGCACCCTGAGGGACCGGGCAAACTGTGTGCCTCCAGGGAATTAGAAGTGTAGTGTGTGGCCCTTTCAAAAGGGTTGAAATTCTGTTAGACATCTTATTTGTACAGAATTTTTGCTGCCTGTCATCAAAAGCATCTTTACTAAATATATATGAAGGAGTCCTCTTAAAAGGTTTAGGTTGGACAGTCACGTTTCATAATAATTAAATTGCTTGCTATGAGCAATTGATTTGGCAAAATAGAATTGTAATTTCTTTATCTTTAAAAGTTCTGCTTATGAGTAATCTTTTTTGATTAGGTTAACTTTTTTTGTGAATTATTTTTGTTTAGAAAGGAGCCCAGTTGTTGAGAAATGTCTCTAAAACTAATAAAACAGATATGTTTGCTACAGTATTAGCTGTACAGTGTAAAAGCACTTGAGATAACCTTTGACAATAACACCAAGAGAATTGTTTTCTAAATTATTTTAAGTGATATGGAGTACTACACAGCCAGTAAGGTTATGAAGACTGATACAAACATGAAAATAGAGTGAAAACAACATTATCAAGGTATACACATTTTCATTTGTATAAACATGCATATATTTTAGATTAGGATTGAAAAACTGGATTATGAATGTAGTCACTCAGGAGTTGGGAATATAAAGCACAAGGTTCTGAGTTCAGTCCCCAGCACTCTCCCAAATATGGAAAGTAGTCATTTAGCAAAGCTATCGTGAATTCTGTTTTATGCCAAGAGCTGGAAATCAGAGATGGTGACACTCTGCTGTCCTGTTGCTTATTACCCGGAGGAAGAGATAGATGCTGGGTAATAACTACAACGAGAGAATAGGTGTTGTGGCATTTTGGATGATGTTTTCCACATTTTGTTAAAATGCTTTATGTTGTTATCTCATTTTCTAGAATATTTTACAAAGCAAGTTCTTAATATTGTTATAAACATGGCCTAGCATAGTGCCTATCAAATAGTAGAAATCCAATATATATTTGTTTATCGAATGCATGTGCAAGGAGACTAATAAACTAATAAGTCTTTAATGAGTGCTGGTTATTTTGGTTATAACTTGTAACAGCAATCCAGAATTCTCTTAATCATATTGCTGCCATCAGAAACCACTTTAAATGATCATTTTCCAAAATTTATTCAGTTTGGTTCTCCAAATGCCTCATTTGTTCCTAAATATTGTATTTGATAACCTAGTTTTACAAACAACAACTTTTGAATCTTTTTCTTTGTAATTGTTAAACTGTTTAATTGAAACTTTCCACTTATTTTTAAAACAGCTTAATAGCCATTAAAGTAGTTCTATAAAGACCTTTTGAGTTGGGAAATGCCCACAAATAAAGCTAGGTTTTAAAAAAGCTACCAAAAAAGGTACATGTGCATACTGATATATGAAGACACTTGAAAGAAAATGCACAAAGATGTCAGTTGTGCCTCTCTGGGTAGTGAATTATAAGCAGTTTTAATTTTGTTTACTCTTTTAGTACTTTCCAAGTTGTGCACAATCTATTCCATTTTATGATCAAGAAAAAATGTTCAAATTCCATTTTAAAAAATAATAGAGGCTTACCAAACTGTAATAAAAAATGTGTCATAGTGTGCTTGCCTAGCGTGAGCAAAACCATGAGTTCAATCTCCAGGACCAAAAAAATAAAAAAGATAAAGTGTTGTATTGTATGATCATACAGAGCTAAAACATGAGGCACAGAATAACGAGGTCTCCTAGTTTAGCATCTCAGAACTATATAATTCTTACTTCACTACCACTTGTATTACATAGTGGGGGTTCTACATTATTTGACATTTGTGAATCTCCCTGCTGTCTGTACTCATTGCTCATCTAGCATGGCTCCTTCTCACCTGCTTCTTCCTCTGATGTGCTGTTTTACATTTGCTGGGACAAAAGAAACCAGAAACTGAGGTTATTAGAATGGTTTGTAAAAATCATGGGCCAGTGGAGCCTATAGAATGGGCTTTACAGCATTTCAGTGTTTCTTCTCCTTGGTGGCTTTTTGCTTTGTTATTGGAGCCTCAGCTGTGTCCTCCTCCTTCATGTTGCAAGTATCCTGACACCTGGGGATGTAAGACATTACTGCATTATAAAGTCATATTTTCAGAGCAGGGCTAACCTCATTTACAGCCTGCAGGGATGGCACCCCGTGGACTGTCCTGTGTTTAATCAAACTACTTTGGCTGCGCTTTAAATGACTTCAGTTTTTAAAGTGAAATTATTTACAGTTATATAAAGAAGGCATTGTAATGTAGGTGAACAAATTAGATGACAGTTGTGTATTTAGTACAAAATTACTTCTGTAAATCATATCAGGTATACTTAACTTAAAGTTCTAATATAGCATAATCCTGCAAAACCATAGTTTCATACTTGCTAGTCAGCATTTTATATAATAGGTGTTATTTATTGAATAATTATTACAATTCTTGCCTATTGTATGCAGTAACTCCTATGATTTTTGTTTAATAAATATTTTTAATTTGAAGAGTAGTGAAAGTTGTGTACACTGTTGAGTGTAAGCTATTCAGTGGTGATGAACCTGTGGCACGTGCTGTTTTTCTTTTTAAGACAAAAGATGTTAATATATGAGTTTTTTCTGAACTAAAACTTTAATATTCAGATTGTAATTGTAGCATTGGCACTTTGTAATAAATAAGTGGTTTCGGGTTGCAGTTTGAGCCCTCGTCTCTAAAAAGTTTGCCATCACTGCACTAGATAGTTCACATAAGTAAAATCATACAATATGTGACTTGTGAGTCTCTGGTTGCCCTCAGTATATTACATTCATCCATGTTGTGGTGTATATTGATACTTAATTCCTTTTATGGGTGAATAAAATCTCAATATGTGTATAGACCACAATTTCTTCATACTCTATCTGTTGATAAGTATTTAGGTTATTTCCACCTTCTGTCGTTTTCGAGAACTGCTGTGAACATTTTTATACAATTGTTTAAGTACTTGTGTTCATTCCTCTTGGCAGCTGAACTGCTGAGTCAGATGGCAATTCTGTGTTAACTTTTTGAAAAATCATGGAACTATGTTCCATAGTGGCCGTACCATTTTACATTCCCATTAGCAATGTATGAGGAGTCCAATTTCTCTGTATCTCACCATTGCTCATGTTTTCTGTTTTGTGTTGTTTTTGTAGCTGTTCTTGTGGATGTAAAGTGGTATCTCATTAGAGTTTTAATTTGTATTTTCCTGACTGATGATCCTGAACATCTTTTCATATGCTTGTTGGTCATTTGTAGGTCTTCCTTGAAGAAATCTTTATTCAAGGTCTTTGCCCATTTTTTAATGCAGTTATTACCAACATATTCTGTATATTAATAATAATGTATATATGTACTATAATATACACACACCCTCCCTGGGAGAGATTATATGTGTTTATCTGTAAGAGAAGTGCAATCAGAAACAAACACATTTTCAATAAGACTATCTTCTATCTTTTTTTGTTTTCGTTTTATTTCTCAGGCTTTCTGGGCTTACCAAAATTTAAATTGTGCCTTCTTTTGAGTGATAGTTTCTTGGTAAGTTGATTAGAGTATGATGCTAAAGTTTTTTTTTTTTTTTTTTTTTTTCCGTGCATGGAGTAGTAAGTCATTCCATTCCATGGCCAGGTGGTTTACAAGTGCAAGCAGTTGGTCAAAGGGACGCCTGTTGGATTTTTTACTTGATCATTACCAAT